AGTCACTCAGGGTAGCAGTAGTACTACTCTTATGTTGCTGTCTTAGATTCCTCTTGTCGGCAAATGTCCAGTCCATTGTTTTTGCATTTCTGTCTTCAGAGGCCAGCTGCTTCCCCGTGAGCTCCCACGGAGCTTCACTGTAACACAGCAAACCACTCCAGGGCTCTGCTGTCTCCACTAACAGCATTTTCTTCCGCAATGTGGCTCCCTGATGGGTCTCCTTGTGTTTCATTTTTACAATGGATGAAATCTACTGCAAATAGCTGCTTATGCTCTGGCTATTTTATGGTGTCATGCTTTCTCTTTGGTGTACTAAGGGCTTGAAAGTCTCCTATTAGTTGTTTCCTCCTTTAATTAGCTGCCTGCCACTCTTGTGACTTTGAGCTGTGTAATCTCCAATGGGTAGCAAACTAAATTATCTGACATTTTTCTCTGTATCAATTCATTTAAAAAATGTCTTAGCAGTTTTTTAGAAAGCATATATATTCATTAAGTTAACATACTGATAAAGATTGTTTCTTTCAATTGCATGTATGTACACAAATGCACTTTTAAAATGTGATGGATAATAATAAACACATTTAATTCCAAACAGAAATTGAGTTAGAATTAAATATGGTAAAGTGTTGGTAAATATGGTAAAAATATTGTAAAACACAGACTTTTAACATGAAAGATATAATATTTGGATTTCTTATTTGTAGAACTGGAGTAATAACACCAACTACGTATATATCATTTATAAAATGTCAACATTTTTCTGACAAATAGAAGTTGTTAATAAAAATTAGCTGTATCATATTATACAAATGTACATAGTTATTTAATTCAACATATACCTTTTATGCTATTATTTGTCAGAACTGTGCCTATTATGAGACTAAACTGTGATCTGTATTATACTAATTTCAATCAACTCCTTGCCTAGAAAATGAACCAGAAACTTCTATCAAGCACATAGACCCTGTGGTAGAGGGAGAAATTGAAACTGTCACTATGTATCTCTTAAAGACAGGGATCATGCTCTCTAAAATAAATAAATGCCTCTTCTCAATATCATTGTTCATAGCATTTTAAAATATTGTTTCTTTCCTGGTCTCTCTGAAACACCTAAATACTGTTGCTCAACAAATTCTCAATAGCACAATCTCAGTTTTTCAGGAAGCACCCATAGTACATACAAGAAGTAACACAAGTTACTTAGATCACTCCAACATTTTGAAATCCTGTGCAAATTTACGTTTATCAAAAACAGCCATTAAAATTCCTATGGAGACACTCTGGTCTTGTTCAGTGGCTAATTCTGCCATTCTCCTGTTCAAACGAACCCAGGCTGCCACAGTCCAATGATTTCCAAATATGTACATACTTATACACACAGCATGAGATTTTGAATTATGCCCATCGATTGTCTTCCATCTATCTCTACCCACAAAAACACAATAGGTGGCTTTACTGATGTTTGCTAAGGAATAAAATAGTGAACTAAAAAGATTCTTTACAGCTAGAACAGTTTAAACTATGGGCCCCTTCATCGTATGCCTTATGAATTTTGGAATCTAAGGAAATAAATACATTTTCTTGCATGTCTATAAATCTAAGAGAGTTGATGTCAGATTGAAATAATAGTCTATGCACACCTTAAAGTTCAGAGTATTTTTAAAATGATACTTGTGATGTATTGCTACATTAGTTGGTTTCCTTATCACAATACTCTTTTCAATTCCATTCCTTTCTTCCTCTAGAGTAGAAGTTATGAAAAGTTCTGAAAAGAACAGCTTAATTCAAGATAGTTGCCAAATATATCCCCTTATTGAGGTAGATGAAAGATTTTCCTTACCAATTAATAGAACAACACAATCTGATTTGTGTAATTACTTTGGGACAGATTTGATGTACATACATTTAAATATAAACTCTGAAGAGCTAATAAGGTATTGTACCTTAAGTCATCACACAGAAACAATGAAAGAGGGTGAAAAATTCCCCTCTTGTCATTTTTCCTTACAGATAAAGCATAGAGTATAATTCAACTATATCAATGTTTTCCAAAAGATAATATCTTTGATCTTTGAGGGAGAAAACAAATATTAATTACAAGATCTCTAGAAGCTATAGGATTGTTAATTCTCGGGAAAAAGGAGAAAAGAAGGAAAGAATGGAGGAAAAGAGGTAGGGAGGGAAGAAGAAGGAAGAAAAAGAAAGGAAGGAGGGAAGGAAGGAAGGACAGAAGGAAGGAAGGAAGAAAAAGAAAGAGAGAGAGAGAAAGAAAGAAAGAATGGAAGAAAGAAAGAAAGAAAGAAAGAAAGAAAGAAAGAAAGAAAGAAAGAAAGAAAGAAAGAAAGAGGCTGGGGATTTAGCTCAGCCACACAGTGCCTGCCTGGTAAGTGCAAGGTCATCATTTCAATTCCTGGTACTGGAAGAAAAACAAAATAAAACAGAAAGAAAGAAAAAAAAGGGGGGGAGGGAGCAGAGAAAAAGGAGGAATAAAGAAAAAATACACCTTATACAGAGTTTTTAAAAGATACAAATTCTGCTAGGTACTAAGGTCTATTTTAGTACTGAATTCTGAACATGCTATCAGACTGTTCAGACATAATGTATTTTCATTTCTCACTGTTAGGTTAAATATTATATCAAGTAATGCCTTTACCAATTCAGTTATGAATTTTACAGGTTATAAGCTTCCTTTGTATGTTTAAGTAACTCTAAGGTTGCTCTGTTTCTTCTAAGAATTATGCTTTAATCTTCTTGTTTTCCACTAAAATAGACTATTTCTTTTCACGGAGGTTCTACTTTGAAATGTTCATTAGGTGTTGACTGTCTGTCGGGATCCACAGTCCCATGTTCCCTGTTCCCCTTCGTGCCTTTCAACTTTCATTTTCCTCAGTGGAAATACTCCTATATTTTCACTCTCATCTTATTCTTTAATGACAAAACCATTTTTAGAAAGAGCCGGGTCAGTAATGTAAGGCATTTTTTATAAGATTCTCTGCCACGCATAACAGCAAAACAGGAAACAAGTGGAAGCAAACTAGAGTTGTGTGAAATTGCTCATTTATTCCTCTCAAATAGTTTTTATTTCTTCATGAAACTGCTGCAAAATTTACAAATTGTATTCCAATGAGATGAATATTTGTTTTCCAAGTTTTCAACCAAACTTTGGTCTTTAGGTACACATTTTACATGCATAAGAAGTCCTGTTCCCCTGTGCACTGGGAGTACCTGCTTGTTCACAAGCATGAAAATGGAAGTGAGACATAAATATGCACAAACTGCTTCACTGGATAAGGAAAAATGCAAATAGTACTATGTGTCATGAATCCACAGTGATGTATGGGTGGGTGTGTTCTTCTTTTTGCCTTTTTACAATTCCAAAATGAAAAGACTAATCTTTAAAGATCTTCCTAATAGTAAATTTAGATTTTCATTTGCTTTTTCTGCCTTCTTACTTAATTTTCTTATGAGAAGGCAGCTCATACATCAGTGTCTTCATTTTTATTCATAATAAGGAAAAATAATAATGTATGGCCTAGATGCTTTGGTTTTCCCAGCATTTTTGTTTCCAAGTATAAAGTTTTCTTTTAATCATAATGTAATCATTCATTCATTTCCTGCCTCAAATTGTAATTTTCTGAATGAACAACTTTAAATGCCATATGCCTTTAATGGATCAGTAATATGACTGTAAGCTTGGGTATCTGCTAGTTTGAAATACCATGTAAAGGGTATCTTAAAATTGCCTTTCCTCTATGTGCTTTAAATGATATTAACGCATTACTTAATTTGGATGAGTTAAATTCTTTCATCCTATAACTCTGACAAAGACATTTGTAAGACAGTATCTCAACATAAAATGCCATTTAAGGCCTCTACAAATGTAGTTGACCTGGAAACCAAAATTCCCTTCCCTACTTCATTTTCTCCCTCCCTTCCTCCCTTTTTCCTTCCTAACTTCCTTCCTTCTGTTTTCCTGCCTGCTTGCCTGTCTTTCTCTTTTTGTGTTTTCTAATGTCTCAGACCTGTTACTACATGACCTTCCCTTTAAAAAGGCCCCAGAGGAAACCTCGGTGGGAAAGTATGTGGACGCACAGCAGCAGCAAAAGGCAAAGTCTGAGGAAAATGGCATTCACTGTGCCCAACCTCAGAGCCATCTTTTCCAAAAGTTCGCATAATCCTTCAAGAGCTAGAGTCAGTCTGCTTTAGCCTTTTTATAGGATTGTGCCAAAGCTCTGAAATTTCTCTGAAATTCTTCATTTTGATTTTCCATAATTCCTCTGTACCAATGGATTTACTTACACTCTTGCTGGACTTTCAAAATTTCATTTATTGAAGATAGTATGGTAGGAGATCATCCCCATCAGTCACACGCATTGTGTTCCTAGTCCACACAAGGTGTCTTTCTGATCACATGTAAAAGTACTCCTTCTATTCTTCTTCTTCCTCCTCCTCCAACTTCTCCTCCTATTCCTCTTCTTGCTCCTCCTCCTCCCTCTCCTTCTTACACTGACCATACTATTTATGTTTATGTTCTTGACAAGCACATATGCCACTTTACTTCACTCAGATTTTAAAAATACTTTCTAACTATGAAGATAATATACTGAGTATTTTAAGTTAATCTTCCATTTTTGCTATCAAAATTGCCTCAAAATATGCACTGTCACATACTTATTTCACAGAAACACTTTTTCTTCTCTTGCACACTCAGAACACTTCTAGTCACCACAATGTGTGAGGATTTCTCCACACACATTGGCCATAGCCATTTCCCCAGTACACACCCAATAACTGTCCTAAAATTCATTGGAATTTGACACTATGTACCTGGAGAGTCATATCTCACAGGCTGTGTTTGGTCTTATCAGTAAGACTCTGCAGACTCCAACCACAAACACTAGCCACCCACGTATTCTTCTGATCAACAGCTACAAAAACAAGTTCCTATGATTCTCTCCTCATGTGCCATATAGTTCATAGAACCCAAAGAAACATTTTGATTAAGTTTACCCATTTAATTTAGAGGTTATTACAATGGATGCAGACTAACAGACACACCAAAGGGACCCATAAGACAGAATATGTGGGAATGGCTCAAACTTCCATGCCCTTTCCCAGTTCATTGTCCTATGGGCGGCTCCATGTATCCATCAGGTAAGAAACTTGAACCTAAATTCAAGGATTTCCATACAGGCTTCCTCATGCAGACATCCTGGATATTTAACTGTCAGCCCTGCCCTTCTTCCTACAGAAGAGGTCTGACTGCAGCTCAGTTTTCTAATCTTGACATGGTCTTTCTGGTGACCAGCACCTGTGAAAAGTCCAACAACAATCACTTCGTTATAACAATAGACATTTCTACCACCACCCAAATTTAAAGGATTTAGATCTTTGTGTAAGATATTCAAAGTTTTGAGGACTTCTGTTTCAGGACAAAAATACGCATTTATTATTTCACAGTACCTCTGCATTATAATAAATGCTAAGGTTTTATTAAGTAATAGGGCATAAAGCTTCTTCCTCAGGAAGTTTAACACCAAATAAGTGAGGAGACAATTGTTGTTAGTGACATACACAGGATACAGGGTATCATGGGAGGTACATGACCTTGGTGTGGAAAATCAGAATTACCACTAAGGTTGACATAATATATACTGAGTAGGAATTAGCCAGTCACAGGGAAGAACACAGGTATTACAGTGCTTCTGACTGAGGAAACCTCTACAAAGACTTGAGAAAAACAAAGTATGGATAGTCAGAATAAGATCATCCGTGGCGCCCAGAGATTACAGTGGGAAGATGGTGGTGTTGAAAGAGAAATGTGCAAAGGGACCAGTTCATAAAAAGACCAAAATAAAAATTATTCATTTTATCTTTATAACATTGGGCAAGGAGTTGTTTAAATATAGACTAGTTTTACTAAGGGAATTGTATGTATGCATGCATGCGTGTGTGTGTGTTTCTAACTGCCAAGGACTAATCAAGGCTGGAAACAGTGATAAACCTGAATCCTTCTAATCTCTTCAGTGAAAATTCTTTCTCCATTTTCACTTCATGTATAAAAGATATATTATGAGTATTGTTATATATAGTATTTATTCCCCTTCTCACAGTTTTGACTTAGTTGTCAGAGGGTAGTTGTCAGAGGGTAGTATAAGTTGGAATAATTGTTGGCCCTTTCTTCATAACAGAAATGAGTCTAGGGAAGTAATTTAACCTCTTATTTTATTTATTATTATTGAGGTCTTATATCCCTAATGTACATCATTATAGAACATAAAATAGTCTGATTATTGGGCTCACATGTATTATTCTTACATGTTTACCACAGAATTCTTCAGGTAAGTCTGTACCATGGCATGAACCATGACAAAGATAATTCCTCTCCCATGGAATAACATTATTGAGGTTGAGCAATATAAAAACATTTTACTTGATTTGAAGTCCTTCAGCAGTCGTAGCAAAAAAGGAACATAAGAATTTGTAAGACCCATATATGACTCTGCTGAGGACACAGGAGTAGCCGTTTGAAAGTTGGGGGAAGAGGAAGGAGGACAACATTGAAAAAAATACATTATTGCTTACAATACAGATGCTAGAAACTATGGTATAAGATGCATAACAATGGGAAATAATGTGGCTAGTAATATCTCAATGTGCTTCTAATGCAGTAGAAATGGTGGCTCTTAATGGCATTCTTTATGAACATAAGAGCTAAGGGTGGATCTGAACACGTTCGTAAATGCTCCTAGTTGAAGATAATAAATAACAGGATCATCTGAACAGAAGTGAAGAACATAACCTTAATTCATCCTGCTTTGAATCTCAGTAATTTTTTCACTACTGCTAGAATTATATTTGTCATGTTGGCAGACTTTCTCAATTGGCAGGCCTACCTAACATTGCAGCATCCCAGGTCACAACCACTTCTTGGGAGACAATAGAAGTTCCCAGCTGTTATTTGGTGAATTGGTCATTTTATTGTAAAAGCTGGGACAGGCAGGAATGCAAGATATCTGCAAATCATTTTAGAGCCTCCTCTCTACCACCTGGAAGCTGTCTGTAATAAACATATGTATTTACATTCCCAACTCTTAAGAGGAAGACATGACTAGACTCATAAATTTTCCAACCTTGTCTGGTAAAGTATATCTTACTTTCAGATGTTTCTATGTTATGGTCTATCAATTAAATGTATTTTTTATTTAATGCAGGCTCCACTCATTCAACTTTCTCAGGCCATCAAACAGGAATGTAAAGCCCCATTTCTTTAAAATGTTGGAGAACGCACCAGTTATCGGGTAGAATAGTACTTTAGTGAAAGTGGTACCTAAACCAGACTAATGAATTGAAACCATTTCATAGGAATTTTATTCTACCCCATTTATTTAATGCAGTATCCAAAATATTGGGCACTCTTTGACTGCCTGGTGAGAGAATATGTTAGTAATACGTTTATTCACAGCTCGGAATCACTGTTCATTAATAGGCCCTCTCATTGTGAAAAGCAGACTTCATGCAAATATTTTGCATGGCTTATCAATCAACCAAATTGCGTGTATGAAGTGTCCTTCATGTGTCCATCTCACTGTGCTATGCAAACTCATTACAAATGAAGACGTACTAAATATTTATCAAATCAATATTTAAATGTACTAAATATTATCAAATCAAACAAACAAGTTTTTTAGTTAAACCTTACAAATCAGCAGTAAGTGTAAATTCCCCGTGCACAAAAGGATAGAATCCCCAGCTGAAGACAAGGATGTGAAAGGATTTGTGATCCATTAGAATCAGACTGAAAAGTGGCAGGTAAAGGTCACTGACTATAAATTGGAGCAGAAACTCTTCTGAAATTAGAAAATCATTATGTGACAAGTCTACACATAGTGAGTATAGAGCAGAAATGGTATAAGTAATAACACATACACAGACTTTATGGTAATCTTAAGGTCAAAAATATGATTTTAGAGGAAAGAAAATTATAAGGTTACCAGCACAGATTACATTTTAAACATTTATCCTGGAGAACCAATCAGTAGCAACCCAATTTTATCTGAACTAAATTTAAGGAAATTTGAAAACATCCATGCTTGAATATCACACAGACAATTATGCAAAGCATCAAGCCACTTCATAGGTCTGCAGGGACCGAAAACGATATCTGAGTATCGTCTGCATACATATGACACTGCAGGCCACAGCACTGAATAATGTTATTCACTAAAAATATCTAAATATAAAGCTAAATAGGATTTCAAACAAGCCCCAGGGGAATCTGAAAGTGACTTGGCAAAGCATAAACCATTCCCTAGAGGAATAAATTGTAAGGAGAATACAGGGATAGAGAAACTACCCACAGCAACCCATGTTAATTCTAAAAATTCAAAAACAGAGTGTTGTCAAAGAAAGACATGGTCAGCAGTATTCAGAGTAGACAAATGGCCTGAAAGGAGTAGAAAAATAGGTATGGAACTAACAAAATGTTCATGGGCATCACATTTTAATCTATGACTCAGATGGTAGCATGCATTTATAATGTGAGATGCTAAAATTATTTCCCCGCAAAAAGTCAAGATATTCTACCCCTTTCTCCAATGATTTATACTTTAAAAAAGACTTTTGGGTAATGAAAATAATATTAAGCATGAAATCTAGTGCTCTAGATTTCACTAAATTAGTTTTCCTTTTTGACCTTGAGACATTTATTTCATGTTGCATTTAGGAGAGGAAAAACATATATTATTTACCATATATATACATACAAATTTGGTCAGACAGAAGGAAAACAGGACCAGTGGAATTATACAGGCAAGGAAGAGTTTCTCCAAGACTATTGCAACACAGGAGAAATTGAACTAGAAACTTCAGTAAAATTAATGGAAAGAAAAGGATTTTTAAATGCTCAGTGAGCTAATGGAAAAGTGCTGGAGAAAGTTAGGAGTGAGAGTGGTCTAAGATTAAACCATCTGGTTTTGCTAATTGCTACTTGTCACTAGCCCTCGTAAGAGTTAAGCGTCTATCCTTCCAGGGAAGCTGGAGGATAGCTATCTTCCTTGATGTTTATATTTCAAAGGAAGCAATGGTTCCCAGGTCCCTGTGAAAGATATTTCTAGATTGTAAAACTGGCAATAATCTAGAAAAAGATTTACATCTCAAAGGAATCAGAGAGAATTGTGTGTTTTCTAAAGTAAGTGATCTAAGAAAAGAGAGCTCAGGTATCTACCATGGGAAAGAAAGCTGGCTAAAGCTAGTCAAACTGTGAAGATGAAGGCCATCTCTCAGATGCTGATCTGCTCTAAAAGATTCTCTCCCTATTTTCAAGGTAACTGGAAATATTTCAAATAAATCTGGATTAACAGACAAAACTTACCAACTATCAAATTATCACACCAAATTAATAAAACCAATATTATATTTTATAATGATAGAAAAACACCAATATATGCACAAATGTGATCATTATAATAAAACAGTCATATTTAATATCATGCCACATGATAATGATCAAAAATTGCTAAGCCTCATGTTTCTTCATTTTATATGAAACAGTAAGATGCTGATACACATACTTTCAAAACTGTTTTACTACGATAATGAATCTTCTTTATGCAACAGTCATGAATAAAGAACTTTACAATTTTAGAATTTTATAACCTTTTACTGTTTAGAACAGAGAATATAGTCCTGCATAGATATGTCGGTATTGAAGAAGAAAAACTAATTCTTGACCACAATTAGTTTTAAATGAATACTACCATACCCAGTGGAGAAAATAAAACCCGCTAGATTGATTTGCTTTGTCCTGGATTATTTGTAGTAAAATATTCATATCTATATGCTCTGAGGAGTTTGGCAGAACACACCTCAATTAACATACCTCAGTGCTTCTACTTGATGACTACCAGATTAGAAATTTAAACAACGTAATGGAAAGAAGTCTTTCATGATAAACACACCCCTTTGCTCTAGGCAAGCTCAGATATGTTTTAGTTCCTTTCCTAGAAGCTGAAGTTGCCTCAAAGCACCCACCTGGCTGCTCAGGCTCTCTCTGCAGAAAAATCCATGCACCTTCCTAGCGAAAATCCTACTCGGTTTGTAATTTTCTCTTGAAAGAACAGCTAAAACTTATTGGGAGTTCTTTTCTGAAGGCACTGCAGGTAGTTAACAGTTTGGTTAAAAATAATTAAGCCAATTTGTTAATATGAAACTTAAACTCCCTCAGATAGAACACTATGTTCACAGGATAAAAGATTGCCTAAGTGGAAGGTTCTGGAGGGAGGCTTGGAGCCAGACCCAGCATGAGGTGCTTTATTTTCTACTATAAATCTTCACACTTCTACAAAATTGTTGGAAGCCAGTACCTCTGTGGGTAGTTTTCCTTCTTCTTTCTGCTGTCACTAGTCCCTACTGGGAGTACCTCTAGTCGCTCCTAAGAAGATACCCTACAGCTAGCTCCAAGCATTAGCAGAATGCAGAGTGAATCGAATATAGTATGACAGATGACTCCAGAAAGGACAGCCAAGGTAGAAAAGAAGACAGTAACTGAGATTCACTGTGCTTGTCACTAAGAAAGATAGAGCTGAAACTAATGCCCCCAAATAGGGAAAAAAGCCATTCTTTCATATTAGTCTCACTTGTACTTCTGAATCTTTTTATTTAGACTTCTTTACTTTTAAATGCAGGTCAGAAGGTAGGTGTTCTGTCTGCAAATAATACCTTCACGGAAAATCACCCAATATTTCTTCTTGTTGTAGCTACAAGTCTAGTTCAGCTTCCTGTATTGATAAATATGTGTGCAAATATATTTATGCATACTACATTCACTGATCTTTTATTCAGTGCATATTTATTAGTTACTTTGCCTTTAAGAGACATACTTTATTACTGATACTGAAATAAGATGCAAACCCATGTCTTCTTCTTCATTCAGCCACTGACTTAGGAACAGTAAACTAATTCTCTCAAGATGGTTTTTAACGTATATTTATGAGTACCTGCTTGCAGTACAGAATGTTCACATTCCCGCTGTGGAGTTGGTACTCAAAGGAACACATCTTCATTCCTTCTCTCACCCCCTTTCCCTTCCTCTGTTCCTCCCCTTCTCCCCATCTTTCCGTTCCTTTTGCAATTTGAGAAAGATCTATCTCTCTCCTTCCTATTATCTTTATTGTATTTATTTTGCTCTTTATTTTTAATTTGTATATCTGATTTATTTTACTTAACAAATTGTCTTATATGGCATTCATTTGCCTACACACGACTCAAATTTATCTTTCTTTACGGCAGACTGACACTCCATTTTATTTAAATACCACATTTTCCGTTCATCTGCCAATGGATCTATAGGCCACTTTCAAGACTTGACTATTACTAATTGTGCTGTTATAAACATGAGTATGCACATATCACTATTATATGATGTCTTTAACACTTGGGAAGATATCTAGGAAAAGAGCTAGGTCAAATGGAAGTTGTAGATTTAGCCTTTTGAGGAATCAAGATTATTGTTTTAAAACTTGCAAATTGTGGCAAAGCTGTTCCACACTAAGAAATTTGTTTTTTAGTTTCACATCTTCAATTAAACATTTTTCACCGATAGTTAGATTTTCTTTGCCATTGGGCACATTACAGGTCCATAAGTAGGCAGCAGGGATTCTCACAAGAGCAGGTAAGCATTTTCCTAAGCAGAACTCTGTGCCTCCGTGTATCTCTGTTCATCCATACAGATATGCACATGGTATAGAGCTGTCTAAGATATATCAATAGAATAAAAACAATAGCATTCACACAAAGATGTTCTTATTAAACACGAATTGAGATATACAATCCATAAATACATAACACTGATATAGACATTATATCCAATGTTTACAAAGTAATTAAATGATCACTACATATTTAAAGGTATTTCCAATATGTTACACTCATATCCAGAAACATTTCCCTAGTTTTAGAAGAGATAATACTTTACTGTTACTAATTTCATAATTCAGAATGAGTGATTTTGTATTATATATGTATTTATATTTATCATTTTATGATCTTGTCTAAGACACATACACTTAGTACTTATTTTCTTGATTTTGTCATTGTAGCAAAGTCAGAAGATATGTTAGTCAAAGGACACTTCCTCTTTTAATTAATAATTTATCTGAAAAAAAAGCAAAGCTGGCTAGATCAGAAAATGTCTACAGTCTAGGTTTTAGTGTTTCAAAATACATTTTCTTAACCCTTCCCTTGCTCTTCAAAATAATATCTATTTCTTTACCATTAATTATAGGAACTCTAACAGCATACAACAATGCAAACATGTATTGAATATACACTGAGCGCAAACTTCTCAAAAAGTCAAATAGAAGAAATAGCAAAAGCTCTGGGTAAACATGCATTGTTTTTGGCAGTGCTGAGGATTAAATCCATGGCTTCCTCCCTACTGAGCAGGTACTGCACTTCCAGCCCTATTTCCCCCCTCACTACACGTCTATACGCCACAAAACACTTTCATCAAATGTATTTCTTATAGAAGATAATATTAGTAAATGGAATATACAAAGTTAAGAACTAGAGTAATCTTGGTAAACAAAACATATGTCAAGTGAAAATTTAATGAAGCATTATGAAGGTAGCAGATAAAGAAGAGCTGCAGATGAAATTCATCTACATGAAGACAAAATACCCCCGGCTAGTTAAAGTGAGATTATAGCAGGCAACATGCAAGATTCTAACATGTGAGGTTACACATGAAAGTTTCACTGGCTTCTGTCACTATGCTTTATATTGACCTTAATGAGGTCATTGAACCAATGTAAAGTACAATTGCATCACCATCACCCTAATGCCCTTTAAAAATCGCAGGGACGTTGCCTATATTTACTTTCATGTGTGTGAGCTCATGACACACGAGAATAGCTCATGCAGATTTTCTCAGATTCAAGGCTTGAAAATGGCACTGTATATACAACAGTGTAGTCTCCATTTGCTATTTGGATATTTCCACGCTTCAAGCACATACTTTTATAGGGTCTGAGGGCATGGGATAGGTATGAACAGTTTTGTGTCAGTTTCCAAGATTTATAACTTTACTATACTAGATATTTCTATGTTAACATTTTATGTTATAAAGATAAAATTAGTTTGGCTGATGGCTAACATTAAAATCAAGGTTACTTGCAAATTCCACTTACAAACTTCATTTTGCTTAAAAGTACAAAGTAATTTTTTAAAAATTTTATGTCTGTTTAAATATTCTTTGTCTTTGATAAACATGATAGCAATTGAACTCTTCATTTTCTGGATATAGTCAAAATAAATAAAAGTATATACCTCATGGGTCAATTATATTAAAAATATCTGCCATGTCTCTTAACATGTTGACAGTGTTCATTCTTTTATAGAACTTTTTTTAACCCCTTCACATTAAGTTAAAAGGAAAGATAAACTTGAGGTTTTTGTAGGTAAATGGATGCAACTTGAGATCATACTCATAAGTGAAATAAATCAGACTCAAATGTATAAACATTGTATTATCTCCCTAGTGTAAGAGCCTAAAAAGTAAATAAAATCTAAAAGGCACAACAGATATTGTGAAATGGAAAGAAACTGCTCAAAAGGAAAGAACAACTGGGTCTAGGGAAAAGAGAAATGAAAGAAGGGGAAAAATGTATATATGTATACACAGGATAGCTAAGATAATTGTATTACTCATTTCTATTGCTTTACTGAAAGGAACAGTTACTGTTTAATTGTTTGATCAATCTTACATGCCTATATTTGTTTATCTGAGTAACCAGTTTGAAGATAACAATGTGTAATAAAACAATCATTGTTAATTTCCTATCACCTTATATGAAATTCTGTATTGTGTTGTTTATGTCTGTGTGTTTATAAATGTTTCATTTTCTTTTTAATTTTAAAATTTAAAACATGTGGTAGTAATATTGTCACTGAATGTCAGTTACTCATTAAACAATCTGATGTCAGCTTTGCAACAGTAAGGGACATGTTAGCATGCAAAATATTGAGACTCCAAGCAGGAGATTGCTGAGAATCTGCTTTTTCAATGTGTGATTTCAAGTCAGCCTCAAAAATAAAATGTGAAGAAGGTTAAAAATAATCACTGTATTTATCCTTTTTGTTTTCTGAAAGGAATATGAGAAATAATTGATTTAAATATTTCGTTGTAAATCAGCCAAGTCCTTACCTCATGGCCATTTAAAAAAGTAGCTAAGTCACCAGAAACTTCCCTCATAAACTCAATAAATATAACTAATATGCATTTGTTGTTACTCTATGTGCATCAGTTGAATTCATCAATTCTTTCAGCACTATATAGTAACTCCTTCACCAGTTGTCTTTATCTCAAAAGGAAATGAATGGTAAGTGTTGCTTAGAACGTATTTTCTTTACAATTATCTTATTCACTGATTCTTTCTTTATTGAACCAAGTGTTATGGTTGATACATTGTGTCAAGTTGGGGAGTCTAGAGGTTTCGCTAAGTGACTCAGCAGGAAGCCAGAGTGCTTACTTTGTACAAATCCTGAGCCTGTGTGGCATGGAGATTATGTAAGAGCTACAAGCCCCTTAGGTGGGGGTAGCCTGTTTACAATGTAAGGGAGGGGAAGAGGCTGCTTGCCGCCATTCGCCCTTTTGCTCTGGCTGCTTTGTTGTTCGGCTGCCATTCCCCCTTGACTCTTGTTGCTTTGCTATCTTCTACCTCAGAGCCAACCAAGTATGGACTGAAACATCCAAAAACTGTAAGCTAAATATACCTCTCCTTCCTTCATTTTGGGAGTTCGGTATTTTGTCTCAGCAAAGAGAGAAAAGTAACCAAGACAGAATTTGGTACCAGAGGAGTGGGGTCGTTGCTATGACTATACCTGACTGACCATGTGGTTCAAGAGCCTTTGGAAATGGCTTGTGGAAAGAGTTGGGAAAGGTTTGGAGATGTCGCCTGAAAGAGCAGAGCTCAAACGCCTTCGGCTGTTCTGTTTGGGAGATTCTGGTCAGAGCTCCAAAGATAAGAAGGCTGATAGAAATCCTGCAGGTAAAGACCGGGTTTAGGAGGTTTCTGTTGGGGAAAAGAACTTCATTGGCTGTTGGACTCCAGACGATATATGTTATGGCTTGGC